ACCCTGAGAAGTTAAGTGATCTTCCCAAGGTAACACAATTAGAAAGGAGCAAAACTAGAATCCAAATCCAGGTTGGTCTGATTCTGAAATCCATATTTTCCATTACTAGGAAATACTGTCTTCCAGCAGACCACTTTGGCTGAAATGAGGAACTGTACCAAGGAGGCACAAGTATTAAGGCAGAAAGGCAGGGAAGGCCCAGAAAGTGGCCTGAATGTTTGGATTTCATCCAATGTCCCTTTTTTTGGCAACAACCAGCAGGAACCATTGTTTGCTCAGGTACACAGATCTATTCAGCATACAGAGAAGGCCTGAATAGGGTAGATGACCCGTACAGAAAGGTACTTTGGAAAAGTTAATATGGCCAGGAAACCAATTTAAAGTTCACTCCAATGGAACAGATACGAAGAATGAAAATTGTAGACAAAGAATTCTCCCAAAACTGGAATTAGAGAAAGACAGGTGATAAAAACATTACAAAGAAAAATCTGGTAATAACTGGATGGTGGGAAGGAGGCAAGGATAATTCCATGTCTACAAAGGGGCTGCTAACAGAAATATGAAAAACACAAAAAGAATAAGAATGAATTTCGACATGCTGAAAATAAGGAACAGTGAGACATCTAAGTGTTCAACGAAAGCTGAAAAAAGCTAAAAGTTCAACAAAAAGTTGAACAGGACAGCAAAAAGGAGAGAGCCTGTGACATGCCAGCACAAACCTGCTTCTGTGAGAACAGGCTAGTTAACTCCACAACACTGGGAACCAAGTCCATGCTGTTCCCTGCTATTTCCCCATCACACCTCCCACAGAGCAGTGCTCTACACATCTTTTCTGAATAATTATGAGCCAATACAAATTTCTCCAGCATCCCGAGGATATCATGACTCCATCAAATATGCCTTGATGAAATCCATACCCACTATCTCTTATTATATTCTTGCAGATGCCATGCAATCCTAACAAAGAAAGAAATGAAGTCAATGTGATCTACTCACAGTGAACCAATCATAACCCTCCCAAAAGTACTGATCATGAACAACCTAGAAGGGTAGTTCAAAGACTCTGTCCTTGATGACTAGAAAGTCTTCATTATGATCATTAAGTTATGGCTCAGGTACCTACACATAGATATTAATTCCCAAAAGCCTCCAAGAAGATCATAAGTTAAAAATCAGCACTGGCAAAGCTATGACTGCAAAGAGCCTATTATACTCTGCAGAATTTCAGAAATGATTGATAGCAGAGGTGAGTTTAGTTTTGACTCCCTAGTATCCATTCCCCCTTGTTCTGGAAACACAACAAACACTCTCACCCTACTGTCAGCTCAGTGGTTTGGGTAGGGCTGCCGAGCTGGGCATATGACCTAGTCTAAGTCAATTGGCACTTCTTTTCTTTCTGGTCACAAAGAATGGGTCAAGGACAGGCACGTAAGACCCAGGCCTAAGCCAGTCAGCCAATTCCATATCTCTGGCCATAGTGATTAATTTCAAGATGCCCATTCGGGTCAAGAAGAGTTAGGACCAGGACTTTATCAGACTGTTAGAAAACAAACTTGTTCTTTATTGCTAACAGTAAGGATGCCATGGAACCTAGAGCTGCTATGGGTCACCATGTGGCATCAGTAAATGAAACTGATATAGATGGAAGCAAAGCCAAAAGGCAGAGATAGACTGGATCCTAATGCCACTGATCCAGCCAGCCCTTCTGTGAACTTTTCAGTCTCTGGGCCAATAAAATCTCATTTTTGCTTAAGCCAGGTTGAATCAGACTATATACTTGCACTGGAAAAATTCCTGCCCTAATCTAATTGCCCAAGTAGCCCTTACCTTGAAGACAAACTTGGGAAAGAATCCGACCCTCTATTTCATTTAGCAATCTATTTCTTTTGCTACATATATAATACAAGAATAATAATAGCCCATGGGAAATTTTTGCTTAGGAACTTATCATTGCAACTGAGGACACAAAAGCTCACTCTTTTCTAAGCTCTGATAATGTGAGCAAATAAGAAAGATAAACAGACAACGAAAGCTACACCAAGGACAGTCTGAGCTCTGATCAGCTAGTCCCAAACATTGTAAAGCTAGATTTATGCTTAAGCACTGAAGTTGCCACATTTTAAGTTGCTGATGCAAGTAGACATCCACATTACAGAGGGTGATGTTAGGAGACAACAAACAGCTGAGGCTGCCTACTCAAACATTTCTATAAACAACAGCAGCAAGCTTTGACCCCAGACTGTAGTTTCGAGAAACTGTGGGTATAATCCACTATCCCTCTGCAACCCAGATTGCAAGTATCTGCAAAGAAAAATGCATGGGGGAAAAAAAGTCACTGTTACTATAAATACAGCATGAATAAATGCTATAAAGGAGAAAAAAAAATGAACAACCAGTTGTGGGGTATTTTTGGTGGACTTTTTTCTATTCAGAACCATATTCTAAATTTCTATTTTTAATATTCAGTATCTTTTCATTTGACACTTATATTTGACATATACTATACGTTAGGATATTCTGTTTATGTTCATTTTCTGTCTCACCAGCTACAGTGTGAGTCCCTTCAAATCAGGGTCTTATCTTTCCAGACCTAAAATAGTATCCGACACAAAGTAGATGTGTAAAAATATCTGCTGAAAATTACCAAAATATTAACTACTTGGCTAGTAATGAGTTTATCTTATAATGAATAATTCTGACTTCCTTGCTTAAAATTAATATATTACCATTTATTCGATAGCTCCTATGTGCCAAACAATGTGCTAAAAACCATACACAGGCCGAGTGTGGTGGCTCACGCCTGTAATCCCAGCACTTTGGGAGGCCGAGGCAGGTGGATCATCTGAGGTCAGGAGTTCGAGATCAGCCTGACCAACATGGTAAAACCCCATCTCTATTAAAAATACAAAATTAGCTGGCCATAGTGGCACATGCCTATAATCCTAGCTACTTGGGAGGCTGAGGCAAGAGAATCGCTTGAACCCAGCAGGCGGAAGTTGCAGTGAGCTGAGATCGCACCATTGCACTCCAGCCTGGGTGACAGAGCGAAACTCTGTCTCAAAAAAAAAAAAAAATCATACATAAATGATTGACTCACTTATTTGGATTGAGATTATCCTAATCAGGAAGTGCAAATAAGTTAAAAGGAAAAATAATGCTTCTTCCTTACTCTTTTCACCGCTGTGCTTGAATAGAACTAGAACAAATGCACAGAAGTTCAAAGTGATACACTTTAGCTCAACCCAAGGAAGATGTTCTAGAAGGAACAGAGCTGTTCTAAAAGGAATGAGCTGCCTCTAGAGGAATTGGTTACTGGAGGAAACCAAGTAAAATTTCAATTAGAGATGATGCAAGCATTGAAGGAGCTGTTAACAGTATTTGGGAATTGGGACAGTATCCTGGGTTCCACCATTAAGCCTGCAAGTCTGGAGTAGCTACATTAAGTTTGAGCAAAGTCAGTAGTTATAATTTCCCATCTTTTCTTATCTATAACCCTAGACTGTTCTCCAAGATACTCTGTATTCCCTTATTATCTCATTGCCTTGAAATGCTTGCAATCTTTCCCCTTGAAAATATGAAAGAGTTTTAAAATGCTGACATTCATCTGGCCTATTGATGCAGGACATGAAGGAAGTAGATCTGAATATATTTTTGGTGCCTAAACATCTAGCAAAGCCCAAGACCAGACAATACAGGGAAAGTTAAACTAGCAAAGTGCATAATCCCTCTACTGTTATGAGCCCTTGACCCTCTCCCCTCCCACTCCAACATACTGACTTTATAGGCAATGGCATTGTATTGGAAGGGGCAGAAACTGAGTAAAGACTGCATAAAGTTGTGCTGGGGCTTCTTTGCAACCATCTAAGTCTCAGTCAAAAATATACATCTCTAAGATGGGTTTCAGGCATTATACTAAAAAATAATACCCTTAGCTTATTTTGCTTTCAGCTCTTTACCTGTTTCATAATGATAAAACTTCCCAAGCATCTGTTGGCCAGAAAACAGCATGTATTAAGACCCAGCAGTAGAGAAGGCAAAGTGGAGTTGGGAAACAGAGATACTCAGAGTGGCTGGAACTCAGACTATGAAGTGGGGAGTAGAAAGACGTGAAAATAGTAAGATAGCAGGGCCAAGATCAGGAAGAACCTCATTAAGTAGTGTTTACTTCAACCTAAGGGCAATAGTAAGTCACAGAAAGACTTTAAGGAGGGGAGAGAAGTGGCAGATTTGCGTTTTCAAAATCTTGTTTCAATTATTTTTAAATAACCAATAAAGAGGAAAGAGAAGATACAAGACATGGAGAGAAAGAACAGTTAAGAGGCCTTTCCAGGAACGCAGGCAGGAGGAGATGTCAGCTTAGAATGCAGTAGTAGCAGTGGGTTAGAGAGAAATGGACAGATTCACTAAATATGCAGTAGGTAAAATCATCAGGACTTAGCAATAGACCACATATGGGGCATGAGAGAAAGAGGGGAGTCAAGGATGACCTGGAGACTTCTGGCATGGCCAGCTGGGTAGCTGGCGGTGCCATGTACTGAGATAAACACATAGTAGGTAGTCGAGGTTGAGGGGACCATGACTCAGTTTGGAACATCTCATGTTTGAGATGTACATGTGACATCCAAGTAGAGATGTCCAGAAAATAGTTTTCAGGTCTAAACTGGAGATATAAGTGCTAATTAGCATTAATAATAATATGCTCATTAGCAAGCAGACCATAACTGAAACCACAGGAAATAATGATTCAGGAAAAATACATAATTCAGCCCATAAGGTAGGGCAACAATATGTGAGAAGTCAACAATATTATTTGTTTACACTTCACGGTTTTCAAAAGGCATCACATCCTAAACCAAGTAATACAGGTGTCTTGGAACGTAGGCAAAATACAAATTAATCCCTACAGGAAAAGCAACCCCCACTGACCCACACATAACAGGTGGATCTGAGATCTAACAACTGGTCATAACCTAACAACAACCTAACACCATAATACTCACCTGTGGACAAGGCCTCCTCCCGAACATCACCCTCACCAGGCTGAGGGATATTCCAGGATGTTTTGGGAAGTAAAGAAATTTCCTCTGGTGATTCTAGTCTCACCATATCCATGTGATTGCTCTGGAACTGATACCGAGGGATGAAACAGACTTTGCCTCGTTGGAAAATGTCCTTGATAATCTCTTCTGTCTCAATTTCATCTTGCATGCTCAGAAAGATGGAAATTCTTTTGGACTTTTGATACTCACTGTGGGCAATCACCTAAATGGGAAATTATGGCAATTATATTTTCCAAGAGTATATTTAGTAACTCCCCTTAACAGTTCTTCCTTTCTCTCTCAGCCTTGTCCTATTTCTTTAAATATTAAAAAGAAAAAAAAAGGGGGGGGGGCAGAGTGATATAGTGGGTCAGACAGTGTTGCATCCTGAAGCCTGACTTTTAGATTGGGACTCAGCACTTACCTGCTCCTTTTATCCCTTCCTGGTACACCCACTCTGGTAGGTGTGAAAACCCATTAAAAGGTCACTGTGGAGACAAGCTGTTTATCTACAGAATTCCAGGCTTGATCCCCACCTACCCATTTTAGTAGTCTTCGGTCATTTCACATGCTTTCCCTAGAGTCTGCTTTATTTTATCTCTGAATCTTGGCTCCCACAAGCTTCTCCACTCCTTGGATTGTCAGGCGTCTCTCTCTTCCCAAATTCTACCCATTTAAAGTCCAACGCAAGCCCTAACTTTTCCTACTTCTGCCAAACCCTTACTACATTTAGAATTAATATATAACAAAAATGTGGTATCTCTAACCGGTCCATGAACTGAGCTCTCTGAGGCAGAGAACATGCCTTATAATTCTCTCTTAGCTCTGCCATCCCCATCCCATTTCCTAAATTCATCTGTTCAAATGAATATCAAAATATTCACAATTATGGGGTGGGGGCAGATCCTGATGAAAGAAATCATTTTCAATTGAATCATCCATCAGGCAAGAGAAGGGAACTGAGCTTTGCTCATCATAGAAATGTCAACAATCTCAGGAACTTATCCAGACTCAGAAGTTAGTCCTTCACTCTCCCTTTTCCTTTTTTTTTTCTTTTTTTAATATATAGACAGGGTCTCCCTCCGTTCCCCAAGCTGGAGTGCAGTGGCACAATCTGCAACCTCTGCCTCTTAGGCTCAGGCAATCCTCCTGCCTCAGCCTCCAGAGTAGCTGGGACCACAGGTGCAACCACTATGTCCGGCTGATGTTTCGTATTTTTTTGTGGAGACAGGGTTTCACCATGTTGCTCAGGCTGGTCTCAAACTCCTGAGCTCAACTGATCCACCCACCTGGACCTCCCAAAGTGCTGGGATTACAGTTGTGAGCCACTGCGCCTGGCCAGCTCTCTTTTTTTTCCCTTCCTTTTCTGTTCTTCCCTGTTTGCCAAACTAAAAAGAAAAGAATACTTTTCTTATTCTTTATCAGACTTTTTAATACTTTTGTTATTATTATATAATTGTAAGCCATAGAAGTAGCTTATAAATATGACTAGCAAAAAGATACAGGAATAGAAAGTCAAGTTATTACTAATAAAAAAGGAAACACAGAAATCAAGTAGATAGAGCACATCAAACCAGTCTAAGAAAGAAAGTTAACTCTCACATTCTGAAAATTTACCAAATTGTTTTGAGGCCTGAAATGGGCAAAGAAAGGAAATGTGAAACCTAGACCTGGGCAGGCCTGGGGCTTTGGGCATCCAACTACTATATGAGAAAGTTAAGTATCCTTTTTGCTGTCTTTACAGCAGAATATAGAAGATCGAGAGTTGAATAAGCAGTAATAAACATCAGTTAACATTCAGTGCGAGACTGTGCATACATATTTATCTTCCTTCCTCAAATCCCATTAATGTGATGGTAAAGAAGCACAAAAAAGAAAATCCATTAGAGTACTGAGAACAAGGGAACAGAGACCTAATTTCTGTAAGAAAAAGAGTGGATGGGACAGTATTTTGCTGACAAAACAGCAGCAGATCACAACACTCAGAGAATAAGGGTGCAGGTCAGGCAGAATCCATTCCTCCTTTGAAATCTCAAAGCAACTATAAAAGGCAGAGGAAATCCCTATTAGCTAAGACACCTTCATTCACAAATATGTACAGACAATAAAGGATCATCAAACATTTTGAAAAGTCAAAATACAAAATAGAAGGATGGAAAAAAAAAAAAAAACAGGAAGGGGAGAAAAAACGGACAAACAGGACAGACAATTTTTTGAAATTCTAATTAGTTTTCTCAGACAAACTCAAGAAGATAATTGCATTTCTAAAATAACAATAGACTGCTGGGGAGGAAGCAATCAGGGAATCATGAAATAATCAATGGTAACTAAAATTGTGATTAGCAAAATTAAAGCAACTTAGGAGACAGCCTTGGAGTAGGGGAAAAGACAAAAATAGGAAAAATGAAAAAAATGTTAAGAAATACAGAAGATCAATCTATGATTTTTATTATCTGATTAACAAGAGTTCCAAAAAGGCACAAAGGAAAAGAAATAATCAAAGAAGATATACTTGGCTCACACCTGTAATCCCAGCACTTTTGGAGGCAGAGGTGGGTAGATCATCTGAGGTCGGGAGTTCGAGGCCAGCCTGACCAACATGGTAAAACCCTGTCTCTACTAAAAATACAAAATTAGCCGGGCGTCGTGGCACATGCCTGTAGTCCCAGATACTTGAGAGGCTGAGGTAGAAGAATCCCTTCAACCCAGGAGGCAGAAATTGAGCCAAGATCATGCCATAACACTCAAGCCTGGGCAACAAGAGCAAAACTCTATCTCAAAAAAAAAAAAAGTAAAAGAAAAACACTAGTCTCCATATTGAATGGGGGCCATGGGTGCTGAGCAGAACAAGGAAAATAATTTTAAATTTGAAATTCAAACTATCAATCTAGTATGAGGGTAAAACATTTCCTAATGTATATTTAAAAGTTTACCACTCCCATAGATACTTTCTCAAAAAAAATTATCTGAAGATATACTCTAGTAAGATGAAAGGAAAAGAATCCAAGAGAGACAAAGATACTAGACTCAAAAAGTTACTAGACCCTAACTCAGAAGTGGAGTAAGGAGGAACCCCAGGGCAATGGCAGTGCAATGGGCCGGAGGCAACCAGACCAGAAGAAGCAAGGGGCTGGAGTGTTTTCAAAAAGAGAGTGGATTTATTTTAACAGACGATGAAAAAGAATATATTGATAAGACAAACAGATATTCTTGATTTGTCAAAAAAAGAAAAATAAAGGCAATCAGAAGCTCCTGGAAAAATACAGAACTAAATTTAGAAATACGCTCCAAATGGGAACAAAGTAAAACAGAAAATGATTTTGAGCAATTATGGAGGAAAAGAGAAAAGCTTTGGTACTAACACTTGAAGCATTACCTTCCTAGTTACACATATCTAGTGACATAAAGTCATGTCTTTTCTTACATATTCAATCATACAACTTGGTTCTGTGATGAATACCATCTATAGAACAAAAATACAGCTGGGCGCAGTGGCTCATACCTGTAATCCTGGCACTTTGGGAGGCCAAGGTGGGTGGATCATGAGGTCAAGAGGTTAAGACCATCCTGGCCAACATGGTGAAACCCTGTCTCTACTAAAAATACAAAAATTAGCTGGGCGTAGTGGTGCACGCCTGTAGTCCCAGCTACTCGGGAGGCTGAGCCAAGAGAATCACTTGAACCCGGGAAGCAGAGGTTGCAGTGAGCCAAGATTGTGCCACTGCACTCCAGCCTGGAGACAGAGCGAGACTCCATCTAAAAAAAAGAAAAAAAAAATACAAGGTATGTATTCAGTGCTTTACATATTTTTGTAAATACTGTTTACTGTAAATACTATTTACTGAAATCTCAAGTTTGGAAATCGATCACAAATACTGCTGAGTAGACTCATTACAGTTACAGAGCAAAGTTTAAATATTACAAAACCTGGCCAGGTGTGGTGGCTCATGCCTGTAATCCCAGCACTTCGGGAGGCTGAGGCGGGTGGATGATGAGGTCAGGAGTTCAACATCAGCCTGGCCAAGATGGTGAAACCCTGTCTCTACTAAAAATACAAAAATTAGCCAAGCGTGGTGGCAGACATCTGTAATCCCAGCTACTCGGGAGGCTGAGGCACAGAACTCCCTGAACCCGAGAAGCAGAAGTTGCAGTGAGCCGAGATTGCGCCACTGCACTCCAGCCTGGGCGACAGAGTAAGACTCTGTCTCAAAAAATGAAAAATTACAAAACTTGACAACATAAGTATAACAATATAAATGTCAGAAACTGACAGAGGGAGTAGAAAACAGTGAGTAAAGGGACACTAATTTCCTCATCTTATTAGTTAGAGAATCAAGATATGACATAAAGCTGAATTTCTTCACCATTTAAATTACTTCTCTGATAAATTTCTAAGTTATAAAAAGGTACAGTGACAATAAGAATAAATATGCTTTTCTAAATGAAAGACATCATTTAACACCTTTATTGAGCATTCACTATGGCAAAACACTACACAGTACACTGATGTTTCCAGAGATGATCCATTGGTTAGTCATGAAATCAATAGCAGGCTATAATTTTTAAATGAAATAGAATAGCAAATATTAAAGTTCGAGTCAGGCACAGGGGCTCACGCCTGTAATCCCAGCACTTTGAGAGCCAGAAGCGGGAAGATCATGAGGTTGAGTTCGAGACCACCCTGGCCAACATGGTGAAACCCTGTCTCTACTAAAAATAGAAAAATTAGCTGGGCATGGTGGCACGTGCCTGTAATCCCAGCTACTTGGGAGGCTGAGGCAGGAGAATCGCTTGAACGTGAGTGGCGGAGGTTACAGTGAGCTGAGATCATGCCACCGCACTCCAGCCTGGGTGACAGAACAAGACTCTGTCTTGGAAAAAAAAGAAAATATTACATTTCATTGTATGTGGTAAGAACTGTAAAATGTTCCTTGTATGTGTATATTTGCTTGTACAGAGTAAAATGTATTTATTACTGAGGGTCATGGGTCTGCTTTTTAATTTTTCTCTCTCCTCCTTTAATGCCAGCTCTCAGTTGTCATTCTATTGCTGTCAGTGACTCTGTATCTATGTAGCCACTATTCCCATCTATAGTTTATGAATTCTAATCTTCTATGGACAAAGACAACATAGAAGATTAGAAACTGAATTCATCTTTATTTCCCCCATGCTACTCCAAAATTTGTTCCACTTCCTATATTCTTTATGCCCAAGGTTAAACACCATTATACCCAGCTCTAAATTTTGGAATCATAGGTGACTCTCCTCCCCTTCCAGTATTCTCTAACCTCTTCCAATCAGTTGCCAAGTACTGCTGTTTCTCACTTAACAGTCTCCCATTTGCCTCCTTTCCCCCTATCTTCACTGCCCATGCTCTAGTTTGCATCTTTTTCATCTTTCACTTGAATTGGCACAACAGCCCCTTAATGGTCTCCATATTATTTTTTCTTTCTTCATTCCTCAACCCATTAACCAAATGCTGCCAGTATACCCTTCCTAAAGGACATATCAAAAAATAGGTAAAGCACTGAATACATCCCTTTACACACTTCTTTAACTCTCACAATCGACCTACAAGAATGATATTATCCATTTTATAGACAAGGAACCAAGGGTTCTGAGAGATTATGAGACCTGTCCAAGGATATACAGTTAAAAGACAGTGGCGCCAGATTAAACCCAGATCTGTGTAGTTCCAACGCCCATGCTAAACTGTACCCTGTCATCTCTTGCCTAAATATCCCTACTCACACTCCCCTATCCCATTTTTCCCTTCACCTGAAAAAATTCATCTTGTTCTCCAAAATTCATCTCAACATTTTGCAATAGAAAGCTTTCCAAATCCCCCTCCCCAAGGCTACATTTCCACAATATTGGTGTTTACCTTTATCATATATCTGGCTTCAATGCAATTCTTTATTCATGTCTGTTTCCTCTTTGAGGCTATCCGCCCCTTTAGAGCAACAATCATCTTTTTCATGTCTACAACCCAGTACATAGCCAAGTGTGCACTACTTAGGTGTTCAACATATGTGAATGAATTAGCTAAATTTTAAACAACTAGATATAGACAAGAGTCTATATCCTTTACATATACTAAAACACCCAGCAATGCTTCCTCATAATAGCTAAAATAATTGTTTGAACGACCGAATTAACATCTGTATAGATTCCCTCATGCACACCTACATAGATGAAGAGAGGGGTGAAATAAGTATATTTGATTTACTGCTTTAACCCATTGGCACCTTGAATTTGAGCAAATAACGGATAATAGAATAGTGAGGGGTAATTAAGAAAGCCTGATGGTATAACTAATTCCAAGGAACATCAAGTCTCCAAATATCCACTGGTGTCTCTGAGGCATGATGCTGGGAAAACAGATCATCAGTTTGACTTACAACAGAATTACACATACGTACTTATTCGGGGGACATTAAATTTTTCTTCCTCTGGTGTCTAACAAAAATGAGTCCCCAAAAACTCTTTAGAACATGCCTTCAAGACAGGATATGACTCCCATTTTATTGATAAGAAAACTGACATTACATAGACAGACTAAAAATACGTAGCAGTGCAGTCGGTGAAAGTAATAAAACAGAGGTCTGCTAACCAACAAACAGGGACTCTCACTTATTCCTCTCATTTCTCTCTTCTGTTTCCTATGTTCTTGGGAAGCCTGGGTATGACAGCCACGTCTTCCTTTCATTCACTCAAGAAAAAGCATTTAATGTTGACCAACTCTGAGACAGGAAAGGCCTAGGCCCTGGAGCTACTGAGACACAGCCTTAGCCCTCCATATGCTTAGTGAAGTGCAGTCAACATCTGAGTTCTGACCTTTGGCATCTCCACACTTTTTTTGGTGTTCCCTTGTCTGAAGCACCTGCATCTTTCTCTGGCCATTTTACTAATGTAACTGGAGTCTGACTCGTAGCTCATTAACTTTAGGACTCACTGAGGGAACCTGGGCACTCAAGAGTTCACCCATCTCCTCTACCACAACTTTCTGTTCTCACCCTGCTCTCACCATAGTACCGTCATCCCCACGGAGGAGTTTTCGAGCACCAAAGGTGCCACCCATGCAAACGAACTCCCCTCCCAGAGATAAATCTGTCAACCCCTGCCGTCCTCTCGCTCTTTAGCCCCACAACTTTCACTACCGGGCCCTCTCTCCGCCACAGTGCGAAGAACAGCCAGACTACGACCAGGGGACGGGCGCGCGCCAGGAACGGGCGTGCAGACGCCGGGAGGGGAAACGTGCGCGTGCCGGGAGGGCCTAGCCCTGCGCCTGCACTGACCATGCACTGATCAGCAATCGCTGGCCGCCAGGCGTTCAGAGAGTCTGTCTGCCGCGGCTTCCGCTACAGGCGGCCTCGCACCTTCTGGGTCAGTACGCGGGACTGACGTAGCCTCTCCTCGGCGCTCATCGCCCGCAGACGCTGCTTCAGCTCTCCTCGCAGGCTCCGCTTGGCGCTGCTCACCGCTGCCGCCGCCATCTCACGCCCAAGCCCAGTCCAATCCTACCCTCGGCGCCCTGGGGTTTGGTCTCCGCCCCTGGCCGCTCCCAGGTGGATCCGCGGCCTAGGGGCGGGTCGGGACTCGGGGAAGCGCTCCCACCCCGCTTCCGGGACGCGGGCCCTCGGCGCGCCGCGCGCTTGCCTCGCCCCCGGCCATTGGCACCCAGCCCTCGTGCGGCCGCCGGTGGTCCAGCCCTCCCTCCCCGGCTACCGGGAGCTGTGGCGAGGCGCCGTCGCTGCCCTGCCGCCTGACCTCCCTAAGCCCGAGCCCTCACCCGGACCGCGGAGGCGGCAGCGCCACTGGCGGGGATGGTAAAGACGGCCGGCAGTACCCACGGTGCCTGGCATCTCTTGTACTGTTGAGTACTGGGACTTCAGGGGCCAGAAAAGAAGGGCAAGGCAGGACAAGTAGCGAAATCGTCACGAGTCGCTTAACTCCAGGGATACGTCTGACAGATGCCCCGATTTCCTTCTGGTGCAAACATAGTGTAGTTACAAAGTTACTACACACCTATGCTACACACCTGTACAGCATATTTTGTACCAAATACTGTAGGCAATTGTAGCACCATGATCCTTGTGCATCTAAACACAGAAAAGGTAATGTGTTGGTTGGCTACCACATCAGTAGGTATTAGGAATTTTTCAGCTCCATTATAATCTTAAGAGACCACAGTGGTTGATGGAAATGTCCTTATGTGATGAATGTATAGACGATACATAGTTGGGAACATTGGTAAAGCAGTAACTGTAGTGTAAAAGCCAAATTTTGTGGATTCTAGTGTGAATGTATTCCAGGTCACAGTGCCCATATAGGTACTTCCTGTTATAACCATCAGTGACTGTTCATTCCCACCACTCAGCTCTGATTAAAACACAAAAATGAATTGAAACTGAAAGCAGTTTGGGGGGGTGGGTGAGGCACTTGCAGGAAGAGGTAAAAGAAACTGTGAAGTCTTGAACTGCTCCCAGTAGACAGGCGCCTCAGATTGCATAGATGGTTGCCTCTCAGATGTGACTTCCTAAAACCAGAGCTGCCTCTTCCAAAACTACTTCCTTACTGACAGCCCCCGTGTCCTAATCCCCACCGTTAAGAATCACACCTCCTAAGTAAAGCATAAAAGTGCCCGGCGAGAATGCACGTGGCTTGAGAGGGGAGATCTGGCTTCTTTATGGAATCTATCAACAGCTTCCAGGGAAAGGTAATGCAAGTCCCAGGGGGATTGTGTTGTAAGAAGGGAAGGCCAGGCAGGTATAGCGTATACATATTGCAATCAGATTTGCTGACCTAAAAATTAGAACACGAGGTCTAACAAACTACATAATTTTCTAATCTGTTCATTTTTACCAAAAAAAAAAAAAAAAAATTAACACTAGCTCCACGTTGAATCACTTACCTAATTTTCTTTGTTCAGAATATCGCAGAGTATCCTGCATATCAGGTTGCCATATCCATCAACCCCAAATGGCAAGCCAGAGAGAGAAGGCTGGGGAGGAGGCATCAGTGGAAATTCTAAGCAGCCAGGGGTACTGGAAACTGCAGACAGCACGGGAAAGAAGGAAGGAAGGAGGGAAGAGGGAAGGCGACCTGAGTCTGCTTCTAGCCTGAGTCTGCTTCTCAGTCTAGTCTGCAGTCTAGCCTAGTGACACGGAGGACTTTTGGGTAATGGGCACACCTTAAAAGTCTGCAGAAAAGATACCCCCTTCCTAATCATCATCCCATAATTAATTGCCTGGCTCCTGTGTTGAGCTTTACCCTTTGGCTGAATTTCCAGGCGGACTCCAAAAATGAAAACAAAAATGGCATATAGAGAAAATTACATACAATTTATTTATTAAATAGGGATAAAATTTCTGTAACTCTGGAAGGTCAAGTTACATCATCAAAGTTGTTTATTTAAAAGTAGAAGTATGTGTTGGCAATTGTTTTCTTACGAGTCAGAAAAATTAGGCCGGTTTCACAATATGGAGTGCCCTTTCTGGTCAACAGTATTGCTTCAGAAGAGATAGCATTTCACAGATCTTTCCTGTAACTTCTAGAAAAGTCATCCAGCCAGATTTAGGCTCAAGCTTCTTTACAAAGCCATTTTCCTGAGAGAATAAATTTAACATTTTAAAAAATCACTGGAGATTATGCTGGAATAAAAAGCAAAAATATTTTCATTTAAATAATGCAATAGTTAATCTTCTACCTCTTCTGTCCCTCTAAAGGAAGCATTGTGTAACAGAAACACAGTGTGACCTACATCTGTAATTTTAATTTTTGGTAGCCACATTTTAAAAAGTATAAAAATCGGAAAAAATAATTTTTAAGATATATTTAGTGATGATTTCAATATGTAATCAATGTCAAATCACTAATGAGATATTCTTTTTTTTTTTATAACAAACCTTCAAAATCTCATGAGTATTTAGTACTTACAGCACATTTTAATTCAGACTAGCCACATTTCACTACCATAGTGGACAGCAAGCACAGCTCTAGAGGATAAAAAGTCTTTTGTTGTTCTCGTTCTTGTTTAATTGTCCATTGATTTCAATGCACTTATATTTGTAATATGAATTCTATTATACAGTAAACTGCATTGTATTGAAACTCATGAGAACTCACAGTAAATCCAGATTAAACCAATACCTTTGAAGCTATGAAAAGGTTGATGGTTTCTTTTATAATCTACTCTCTTTGTGATTGGACATAGTTTTAAAAATATAGGATAACCCAATTAACTGGACATTTTATTTATCATCTATAATCATAAAATCCTCACTGAAAAGTACCTCTAAGATCATCTAGCCTAATGCCCTCTCTTAACAAATGAGGAAAGTGAGGTCCACAAAAAAAATAAGTTATCTAAGATTAGGTAACCCTTTGGTGCCTGGATCTGGATTAGAATGCAAACACCCTACTTCTTTCCACTCCATTCATTTCCAAACAAGTGCAAAAATATTCAAAAATTGTTAAAATAATTTTTTTCAAATATTCATTTAGCAAACATTTGTGTCTGCATCTTATAGGTTCCAGAACCTAGGGTTACAAATGCCTGCAAGTAGCTCAGAGCATAGTGTAACTTAATATTGAAACATAAACCAAGCATAACCCTTTGATAGTTGGGAGAGATTCGAGAGCTCTGTGGTGCCTTGGAATCATTTTATAAGCATCACTGGCAAAGCACATGAATACCACCAGCCAGGGGGATTTCATTTGAAAGATTGCCTAATAAAGTCATTTTCTGCCTACATGTTAAGTGTGCATTGTGCTCTGAGACATGCTGTCATGCCTTGAGAGAGGAAGGAAACTGCCCCTCTCTCTTCTTCCTCTTTCCCTCCTGCCAGTCCATACTCATAGATTACACTCTAAGGAGGTATCCACTTCATTATGCTCCTTCCTAAACCCCATGTTTCACAAGTATCATGAGGCCCTCTGAAATGATTTTTATTATGATGATAATCATTGTCTATTATCATTGAGCAGTTAACATGTCATATACATCAATGTCTAAAGAAAGGACAGTGTACAAAGAAAATATTGATGAATTCAGCCAGATGAAGATTAAAACATTTTTTTAACTATGAAAAACTAAAAAGAACAATACAGTAGGAAAATATTTACATATACCATGAAAGTGTTCATCCAAATGTGAGAGAAAATTCTCAGGCCCTTAATAGTTTAAAAAGGACAGACCATTAAAGACAGAAATATAAATCATTCACAAGTATATGGGAAAAACATTAATAGTAGTTAAAGAAATGTACATTTTAACAAAGTTTTATTGTTTTTTAGACCTACTAAATTGGCTTTATTTGATGCCTATTAAACCCTCAAAATTATTAATAGTACCACCCACACTGATAAGGTTGCTATGACATTGTTCTATTGATATAATGCTTTTGGAAAGAAAATATGTTCCCAGTATGCTAGAATATTGTAATTCTACACACATCTTATGAACCGGTTATTGCACTGTTAGAAATTTATCATGAGGCAGTCTTCTAAAATATTGGAGGGTAGGGGGCACCAGAAAAGCATACCCATGCTTCACTATTGAAGTATTATATCTAAAAGGGGAAAACTCTGGGCGAAGTGGCTCAGAACTATAATGCCAGCACTTTGGGAGGCTGAGGTAGGGAGATCACTTGAGGTCAGGAGTTTGAGACCAGCCTGGCCAACGTGGTGAAAGTCTGTCTCTACCAAAAATATAAAAATTAGCTGGGCGTGGTGGTACATGCCTGTAATCCCAGCTACTGAGGAGGCTGAGGCAGGAGAATTGCTTGAACCTGGGAGGTGAAGGTTGCAGTGAGCCAAGATCAAGCCACTGCACTACAGCCTGGGTGATAGAGTAAAACTCCGTCTCAAAAAATTAATAAATAAATAAAAGGGGAAAAATCAAAACCAAATTGTCTAACAATTGGGAATTAGTTAAGTAAATTATGATATGACAAATTAATGAAATATTCTGTAGACATTAGAAATTAATGCCTAATGTTAACATGGAGTGAGACAGCGTTGAAAATATTTATATGTCACACCAAAAAACTCTTATGTACACCCTAATTATTGCATACAACGTCTGCATGTGGGTATGTTAGGGTGATGGGAGTGACTTTTCTTCTTTTCAAAAATGTTATTTTCAAATGTATTTTCTTTAATGATGCTATTTGTATCTCAAGACCATTATATGAAAATAAATATACAAATAAGGATTCAATATCCTATCAGTAATGTAGTAGTAAATAAGAATTGTTCAGGCTTTATTATTTCTGGGAATAGTGATAGTTTGTTAAATTCAGCTACCTTGGTTTCAACAAAACCTAAAGCATAAAATAATATATAGTATTGGTAATTCAAAGAAAATCAGAACCTCATAATTTTTAAAGATACAGGCAGCCAGGCACAGTGGCTCATGCCTATAATCCTAGCACTTTGGGAGGCTAGGGTGGTAGGATTGCTTGAGCATGGTAAGTCAAGGCTGCAGTGGGCCATGATCACACCACTGCACTCCAGCCTGGGTGGCAGAGCAAGACTTTGTATGAAAAAAAAAACAGGCAAATATCATGCTTTCTCACTTCTCTAAAGACTATTCCTTTGTTCACTCAGGAAATAGTCATTGAGCATTGGCCACATGCCAGAACCAGTTAAAGTGCTGGA